GACAGGGTCTCCTTGTAGCCCCAGCTGGTTTGGGACTCACTAAGTAGACCAGGCTGGCTTTGAACTCACAGAGATCTGCTTGCCTCTGCCTCCTGAGTGCTGGGATTAAAGGCATGTGACACTATGCCTGGCTGAGTTTTTGCTTTTTTAATGCAATGTTCATCATCATTTTTTTAAAGATTTAGCAAAGCAGGGCAGGAGGTTTAAATTCCCCAACAAGTAGAGAGGGCCTTTATTTTCTCAACTGTGAAACAGTTCAGGGGGCTACTGTTTTATTTAAGAGTGTGACACTAGATATATTTAAATTGAACCATATCACTCTTGAATATACACAAAAAGAAAGATAAGTTATATTGGATATGGCATTTAAAAATATATCCCCAACCTTGGGCTCACTCTGGCCTGAGTAGATGGAGTGTGAGTGACTAGAAATTTAGATGCTACAATGTAATATAAAACTGCAAAATTATAAAATGTAACTATGAAAAATGCTTATCTTAGAGTCTGTGGCTGTAACATTTATTTAGAAGATAGGAAAAGTAGGATTTTAAAACCAGATAAAATGATGTATATCTGTAATCCCAGCACTAGGGAGGCTGAGGCAGGAGGACACAAGTTTGAGATCAACTTAAGCTACACAATAAGACCCTGTCTCAAAAAACACAAAGCAGGGGCTGGAGAGATGGCTCAGTGGTTAAGAGCACTGGCTGCTCTTGTAGAGGACCTGGCTTTGATTCCCAGGACACACGACAGCTAACTCCCGTCCTTAACTCCAGTTCCAGGGGATCTGATGCCCCTCTTCTGATCTCCCTGGGCATTGTACAACATGGGTGCAGTTACAGACATGCAGGCATAACACTCACACACATAAAAAAAATTTATTTAAAAAAATTTTAAAAACCCACAAATAACAAAAATGCAGAATTTTAAATGAGGAAAAGGTTTTTTTTTTTCTTTTCTTTTTTTCAGTGCTGGGGATTCAACCCAGAGTCTCATACATGCTAAGTGTGTGCACTACCACTGATCTCCATCCCCAGCATCTGATTTATTGTTTTTGTTTTCTAGGGAGTGTTAGTCACCACATGGGTACTGGGAATTAAATCTGGGTCCTCTGCAAGAGTGGCCAGTGCTCTTAACCCTTGAGCCATCTCTCCAGTCCCTTATTTTCCGTTGAAAATTTTTTAAAATTTATTTTTTATTATTGTTTATGTGTATAATGTATTGCCTGCATATGTATAAGTGCACCCATGTTGTGCAATGCCTGAGGAGGTCAGAAGAGGGCATTGGATTCCCTGGAACT